TTGAAAGCGGTCTAGATTTTCCCATCTAGACCGGCATCTAGACCGGTCTAGAGAAAAAAGGTACATAGAATATAAAAAATTGGCGTATAAGACACAGCCATATAATAAACACTTTATTAACCGAGCTAGGTCGGTCTGTCTGGGAGAATCTTGACCTCGGTCGCTGGTACAGACCGAACGCAGTGAGGTCTGTACTGGCAACCTCGGTCAAGATTCTCCCATACAGACCTCCTGCTCCGTTAATAAGAACTACTGGTAAATCTTGACCTCGGTCACTGGTACAGACCTCACTGCATTTGGTATGTACTGGCGACCTCGGCCAACATTCTCCCATGCAGACCTCCCACTCGGTTAATAAGAACTAAATCCTAAGGGAAACAAAGCAAGCAAAGAAAGGAGAACCTCAAGAACTGGGGCTCTTCTTTCCTATAAGAATGAAACAGTTGTTAAGTCTTCACCAGGGTAACAAACATAAGCTTCGCTTACAAATAACTTTTTTGATCAGTCAAAAAAAAAAACAAAACAAAAAAAAAAAAAAAACAAACCAAAAAAGTGACAACAACAAACACATCCATTTTGCTCCACTTTATTAACACTAATATAACAAGAAAGCTTAGTTACCCTTTGTCTAATAAACTATATATACGTATAACCCACACTTTACAAACTTACCACCTATAACTAAACCAGTATAGAAACTTAATCCAGTAAAAAATAAATTAAGGTTACTCTTCCTTTAAAATTGGTGGTGCCAGCACCAGAGATACACATGCCAGCATGTGCAAATCAAGTGGAACAAAGACAGCAAAGTCAGAATTGTAAAGACAATTTCTTGAAATGAAATAACTTTGGATGTAAGAGAAAAAAAAAAACTGATCACTAGTCAGAGTTGTTCAAAAGGTAGGAAGTACTTCACTTCAGATTGTGAATTATTAGTTACAAAACACTGTCCATCTTTTGAGCAGCCATGACCAATTGAACAAGAGATTTACTTAATTTAACTAAAACATACAATTGAACATACAGCAGTTGAATTCCAAATATCTTCCACTCCAGTGACCTAAACAGCTACTCAGAACAAACGTAGACATTACAAAGAGCCAATGAGAAAGTAAACAAAGAGAAAACAAGCCATGAGTAAACAGGTTGATAAAAGGCAAATGGTGGAGAAGGAGGCAAATGCCTTTTAAACAAAAAAAAAACAAGGTGAAGTGAAAATTGCTCTGGGGGAATCAACTCAAACTAGGAAGGCCACAAAACAAAAAAATTAATAAATAAAGACATTGAGCTTCAGCCAACCTGTTAAGCTTAACATTAATCTGATCTCCAAGGTGAAAGTGCTAAAAATCAACTACAGAAGATAATCTCAGTCCATATGAAGAGTTAGACTTTCTAACCTAATGGCCTCAAAATAAAACATTAACTTTATACAAACTACTTCTTCAGAGCCTTTACAGCTTAACACTAACAAAAAATTAAAAGCTTAAACAACATCACTTAAAAATATGTCTATATAATTCTTAATAATGGGTGAAAATCAATTGATATTCCTGAGAGGCTATGGCTGGATCATTAATTGTTTTAATATTAATACAAGCGACAAACCTAACATTTCCACCTCTGTGATGTTGTCTTCTCAATTGGAAAATGCAGGAAGCCACAGTCAAGAAAGTTTTCCATGATTAACTAGATATTTACATAGAATAGCTAATAAAAATCTCACCAAACAAGGCAAATGATGAATTTTACCAGTGCCAACCAAATGTTCTGGGCAATTACAATTTAATTGGTAAATCAACAAGATCAAGTTGTTCTGTTGTTGTGTGGCAGAAGCATGGTCAACTACCTCTCCTTTGTTTTGTGTGACCTGGAGATTTAAAAGCTCTTCTCTTCTAACCTGGTTGACCATTGCCACATGGCAAGACAAGAGATCCTGCAACAACTTTCTTCTCTCTTAAAAACTCATGATCATTGATTAAAAAATAGGAATTTAATATAACTTAGGGACATAAATGTAAATACATAACTAAAGCATTTTTTAAATTTGTCTTTCATATAAAAATAAAGTCATTTAGACTGAGATTGCATGATCAACCAGGAATTAAAAATGAAACTTCTAAGTTAACCACATGATTACTTGGATCCTGAGATAACTCAGTGATACATCAGAAAACTAAGAACTTTTAATGATTACTAATAAATTTATCATAAATTTGGAATTTACAATAGTGTATATTACAGGTTACAAATTATCTTACGAAATATACAATTCTAGAATTACATCAGGAAAATGAAGCATTCTGGAGTGATCAGTCAGGTCGTAAAATTTGCTCCTTTGGTAAGAACTCGACGAGCAGTACCTAGAGTGTAAATAGGAAAGTGTCAAGTTCTTTTTCTAAACAAAAAGAAATAAAGCACCCCAAGGAACCAACACACAAAAAGAAGTTGGTCAGCTTTTGGTGAAGAATCTTCATACAAGACTTTAAGAACAACAACAAAAAATAAACATCCAAATAACCCCAATAGCAATGATAATGCTAGTCAGAGTTAAAATCATGTTTCACTGCAGGCAATAGAAACAATTGCCCAAAATAAATACTCACATATTCCATCATATTACTGGAATTGCATTTCTGTTTATTTAATCGCCAATGAAGCCCAAGCTGTGGAGGAAATCAATTCAGAGTTTCAGTGGGACTTACTCACTCAAAAATAGGAAATGGAGGAAACCAATTCAGAGTTTCACTCAAAAATAGGAAAACATCTCCTATATTTGGTATACATGTGAACACTATCAAGTTTGGTATATGTGCACGATCCTTTGCAGTAAAGCACTATTTAAGCAATAGTGAAAATCAGACCTGAAAAAAATTCAGGCCTGTACGGGATTCGAACCACTGACCTCTGCGATACTAGTGCAGCGCTCTACCAATTGAGCTAACAAGCCAACTGGGAGCAGGCCATCAAATTAATTCGACATAAACCCGTAGATGATAAATCAAACAACAAACATATGAAATACATATATATGAAGTATATATGTATTTCGAATCCCGTACAGGCCTGAATTTTTTTCAGGTCTGATTTTCACTATTGCTTAAATAGTGCTTTACTGCGAAGGATCGTGCACATATACGTTTCATAACCGCAGTTCATATATATGTATTTCATATGTTTGTTGTTTGATTTATCATCTACGGGTTTATGTCGAATTAATTTGATGGCCTGCTCCCAGTTGGCTTGTTAGCTCAATTGGTAGAGCGCTGCACTAGTATCGCAGAGGTCAGTGGTTCGAATCCCGTACAGGCCTGAATTTTTTTCAGGTCTGATTTTCACTATTGCTTAAATAGTGCTTTACTGCGAAGGATCGTGCACATATACGTTTCATAACCGCAGTTCATATATATGTATTTCATATGTTTGTTGTTTGAACTATCAAGTTTACCACCTAAACTAATTCTTTTTCATTCCACCATAATGATTGCTTTTCAAGAGACATCTAAATAAAAAAATTATCAGTCTAGGAAAGTTTTGCAAAACATAACGAGAGTGGTACAACTGAACCTTATCTAAAAATGCAGAAAATTCAAAACTTCCTTGAAATACTTACCTTATGATACAGGTGATTATTTTCAGCATCTAACACCTTATTTATTGAATGTCTAGTCTGCAACAAGGAAAGATTTACCAATTAGCAATAAGAGCAGAAGTCTTAATTCATATCACTGGAATTGCTTGTAGTAAAAAAAAAAATATGTATTTAGCTTGATAACAGAATATCAGTCAATTATGTATTAATTTGATTTTCCAAGTGCTGGTAATCCTGGAGAGGATTGTTGCTACTGAAGGTGTCAGGGAAAAGACTTTTCATGGCCTGAATAAGGGTCATCATCTGAGTTCAGAGAGGCAATATCTATCATTTTTATATTAAGGGTCAAGTTTATAGAAAATGTTTGGTTGATTTTGCCATGGTGTCATTGACAGTGGGACTCATAAAGCAGTCCTTGCTGGAAATTGGTCACATCTCAGTGATAAGGCGATAAATTCAGTAAATCTTGTTGTGAGTTTAAGTCTTGGAAATGAGTCATTTGTAAGGTGCCAGTAAAAAAAAAAGACTTTTTTATCCCTCTTCCCACTGATATTAGCATTTTCATTCCAATCCTGCCTGACTGAAAACATGTTGCTGCTAATAAATTCTCAATACTCAATCTCATAATCTAGCAATATGCTTATCTTTTAGGGAGGACCTCTAACTACCCATGTACATGTTTTTATGTTTATTTCTTTTAAGTTCACGTACTCTTTTATTTAGACAAACCACAGGCCACATGGACATTCCCAGGGTGCAGCAGCAGCATATGCACCCACAAAGTAACCAGCGTACATTGACGGGCATTGTCTTACTAAGCACTCTATTTACTCTTGTGACTGTTGCTTTGTACTCTTCTGGGGCAACCTGCATGCAAGATAAACATTGGATTATAATGGTGAAGCCTGAGGGTTTTTTTTTTTTTTTCTTTCTTCAGGTACCCCTACTGCTGTGACCAGTCACTTCCAGGGAAAGAAGTTCAATCTTCTCGGTATCCCACCCTTTGTTGTTTTTTTCTTATATAACTAGCTGAATTATACACACATATTTAGGGCTCCACACTAACGGTAGCCAACTAGACTGGTAGAAATTCAGTTTTGACCAGTGGTTTTTTACTTCCATTGGCCAATTTGGCTAGTAAACAAACTGAAATTGTTGTAACATCTAAGTTGTCACAAGCCATTTGGCTAGTAAGTTGAAAAGTTAGCATTGAGCCCTGATCTTGATTGGTTCTCATTTATGATCTACTGGAGGACAAATTCACAGGTGGCAATGCTAGTAACAACTTAATACGTCCTCATTCTACAAAACAAATAGATTCCTGGTTGTTGAAGGGGCTACTGGTCTGTACAGTAATAGATTACAGGAGACAACAAAATTTCATAAGAACATCACTCACACACTCAGCTGCATCTGGTGTGCCACTTTTTAGGTTTTTATCTCATTTTGGTGCCATCTTTGATCTATTTCTGAACAGACACATGGCAACATGGAATCTACTTGGTAAATAAATTTTGTTTTCCTGCTCAGGAATCATACAAATTAATTTCATCAGAATAAAAAAAGTGTTCACACTCTGAATGTAGACAATTATTTAGCACCTTCACAAAACTATATACTTGTATTTAACAATTACTGGATAAGTTTGAGTATGATATCGATAATTATCAGGCCAAAGTTTGTGTTATCTGTTGAAGTCGAAGGCTGAGGTGAATAACACAAACTGAGGCCTGGATAATTATCGCTATCATGTGAAAACCAAATCAAATAATTGTTTTATTTGCATATTCCTGAGCTGCACTCATAAAGACAAGAGTGCATAAAGCTATTGTCTACAATTATCTTAGGCATGATGTTACATATATAAAATCTATTGTCTGTTGGTATGACATAAGAGAATGTATAATAATAATAAGTAATAGACATTTGATATATACATGTCATGTATATTTTCATGTTTGAGAATGTTTGAGTTCACAAGTTTCTTGGAAACCTTTAAGCTGCATTAAGTATGCTAACATAGAAAAATTTATCATAAATAGTTGAAATAAAGCACTGATCCACTTCCAACAAGGTAAAACAGTTGTTTTCAAAAATATATAAATGTAGTACTACTTTGGGGTAAAGTATTTTATCCTTAAGAGTTAACATCACTACTGATCGCCACAAAATTTCGTAAACACTTTCATAACAAACATCAATGTTCCTTAATTTTTATTTAATTACATGCGCACTTGACAGGAAATATGAGAGAAATGGATTTTACATCCTCGCTTTACTCATAAACAGACAAGGGGATTATATCCAAGGTTTAAACTAAAAGAGCCGAATAAGGGAGATAAATTCCCGCGAGTGCTGTTCATTGATGTTCGCGCTGAAAATGACCAGATAATGAGAGAAAATTCAATGTAGAGCAAAACGAAAGATCTACTCTTGTTGCACGTTATTCCCACAAGTGATGGCGTTCATTTAAAACAATGATCGAGCCCGAGAATGGTAGAAGAAACGGCTCTCTTTGTTTCTGCTTCAAATGACAAAAGATCACGACTCCAGTCGCCACAATTACACAGACAAACAAACAGTGTACAGCGATAAAGTGAAACACACACGCAATAATGGAAGTACACGTACAATTGTTGGAATTAATTACAATGCTTTTTAAGATTTATTCTTAAACACAGTATATCAGTACGTAATGTAGCCAGAAGAGGTAGAAAAAAATATAACTAAAAGAAATAGTGACCGGAAAGGATATTAATGTTATTATTATAGACCCCTATAAAACGACTGAGTAAGCGTGATTCAACTCAGCCCTCGACCGAAACAACCATCTTACCTTGGCACTGAGGGGTTGTTGAAATTCCGCATCAAACTTGCTATTGAGCCCGAACCTGAAGGAACAGGAGGAAAAGGCAGTGAGTTTCTTGTATAATAAGTGTTACTAGTTTCTCAGGGAACAGCCGGGCGTCTTCTCGATGGCAGAACTTCGAACTCTGGACGGCACGTAAAAATTAACCGACGTAAACGAAGCTTACACTGTCATGTGTCCTACTCCGCGAATAACAACCGGCTCTGGTGTCACCTGGACATTTTCGTCTGAAACACGCGAACTTTGTTCATCCTCTCGAAGATTTTCGTCAAAAATAGCGTCAAAGTTCGCCATTCACTGCAATGTTTTTCCACGAAAGAAAGCCACCGTTTCAAGATGGAAAATCGGAAGTGAACAGATATTTACTACAGCCCGCAAAGCGAGCTGGGATTGAAAGACGAAGTAAGCTGGGAACAGTTTGAGGTCCGCGAAATCTCGCAGAACTATAAAAGTTAAGATCTCTGCCGTTCTACAATCTTGAATTTTTTTCTTCTTTTTGATTCTGTTTGTTTTTTTATTTCTCATTTGCCTTTATACCATTAATTCTGGTAATTAAGTCACCTTTTTCAATGTCCCTTCAGGCTCAAGTGAACGGGAATCATCTTTATTTAACAAATAGTTTTCCTTCAACGACGCTTTCCTGTTGTTTGCTTATTTTTCTGGCTTTCTAAAAAAGGTATTGGGTAAAAACCGAGATTATCACGCACAGCAAAAACTGCAAAAAAAAATTTAGTGTTCTCCGCTATCACTGCTTATGGTGACGCTAATAGACTTTTCTAAGCCGCTTTTGACCCGATGCAACGAATAAAACGTTTTTGTTTTTTTTTTGTTTTTTTGTTTTTCATTCAAAACCATTGACTTGCTCGCGTGGCTGTGGCAGAGTCAAACGGGTCGTCCTTATACTGAGGGAAAAAATGGTGTTTTGGCGGCGACTGACTGAACATTCGTGGATAGAGATGTTCAAAGTATAATCAGAACCCCTCTTCTAGGACAGTTCTATTCCGGCGATAATTTCATCCACTCGTGGGGCCAAAACCTACTAAAAAAATGATATGTTACCTTCATTTAAGGGGCAGTTTCAATTCACGGCATACCTGCCTAACTCCAGACTGAGGATCGATTAGAACTCCTTTAACTGACAGCGATCTTTAGCTAGCCCATAGGTGTGGGGCGGCTCTACACCTTCCATTAAGAATAAAATCTTACAACCAGCTCAACAAATAATTAATTGTATTTTAATGTATTTTCTTTTACAGACTTAAAACACTTCTTTATCAACGTGACACTATATTTTATGGTGACGCTTGTCTGACCTTTGTAAGTTGAAAGAAAAGCTATGTTCTGCTCAGGAGAAAATGATGAATTATTTTCTCTTCGTTCCATTGTAATTATCTTGACGGAAGTTTTTACAAGCAATAATAAGAAGTAAAGTAACTGCAAGATTCAATAGAAATTAGCAGAGATGTCGCCATAATTTCTGTTATCTGAAAAAATATAAGGAATTTGACAAATTTCTAGCCAAAAATATATTTGGTAAATCCGAAATAAAATAATCATATTTGTTTAGGTAGGTAATGAACTTCAGCATTCAGTTATTTACAAGGTAAAATAAATTCGAAACCAACTATTCACATCACGGCTTCCATTATTATTATTATCAATCAATTATCTTCAAGAATAATACATTAATAAAATTAACTATTTTGAAGTAAAATCTCAAAATTAATTCAATTCTCAGCCACTCACGGCTTAACTATTCGAAAATCTTGTCTCGCGATGGCCTGTGAGTCTAATTTACGACCACCCTTGATCATCTGTTTTATCGTTGTAACGGAATCTGTGCGAAATGGTGTCCGGAGCTGATATTCACGGAATTTCATTAATAAAAAAACTCCTTTAACAAACATTTGGGTAAATAGAATACACGTGTGACGATGGCCTTACAAACTCCCGACAATATTTGTTCCGTCAAATTTCAAATTACGATAGTGATCAGGGAACAATCATAGCGCTAGAGGGAATCAGAAAAACTTTGCGTGTTCATCCTCAAGTGTCTATGCAGGATCTAACAAGTCTGGACATGGGACGAGGTAAATAAATGTATCCTTTCAGTCTCTCGTCTCCATTTAACGTACCACAGAGGGATCAGAGTCGTGGTTACAATCGGAATAAAGGCGCAGACGACTCCAACAATGTTCGGGACCACAGACGAGTACGTGACGAAACTCTCGATCACGTACGGAGACCACGTGACCAGGAAAGTGCTAATAGCGAGTTGCAGGCGACAGTGAGCCTTATCGTCGTCGCTTTCCTCGTTTTCTCCACTCTCCAGCTTGACAAGCTTCGCCTTTTCGCTCGAGTTCTTTTCGCCTTGGGAATCATTTCCGAAGAAGTTGTAGATCAGGAGAGAGACTGGGATGAGGAAGATACAAGATGTGATGAGAGTGAAGCTCAACCCGGAAGGTGGCCAATCGACCTCACAAAAGGCCTTTCTGCTGATGAAAACATACTTGCTCCACAACAAGGACAGTGAGTATGAAAGTGTAGTGTGTGCGATGATGTAGCCGAGTGGAAGGGAGCGAGAGGAATTTCCCTGGGACTTCTGTGACTCATTCATTCGGAAATATTGTTCAGTCGTGATGGTAACCAGCGTCGAAATCGACACGATAATGTAGATCACATTGGTGAGACCGTAACTTCGGCACCAGTGTTCCTCGAAATACCACCTTCCGGTCGTGCTCACGGAGATCAAGAGAGGCAAATCTTTGATCGAAACCAAAACGTCTACCGCAGCCAGATTCGCTACGATCAGTGCTGTACACGATGCGCGAAGGCTCCTCTTGCGGTAGATGTAGTAGCAGACGAAAATATTTATTCCAATGGTCATAAGGCAGTAAAGAGCAATCACGGACGCGACGGGAGAATATAAAGTAATTTCCATACTAAATCCAATTTCATCACCATGGGCCATTTTCTTATGAGAGGATCTGTTCGGTAAACCTTTCCGGGTTTAAAGTGTCGAAATAATTTCTTTCCAGCGAGCTACGGAACAATTGTGGTCAGTTCACTGCCGTAGTGTTGCCTACTCTCCGTCAATTTAGTGGCTGCTGTCTCGGTGTAAACAATGTTAAAGTCTTTTCAAATTATCCAGGAAAAGCCACAGGTTGGAAAATTGGTGCCTCGCTGGAAATCTTCTTTCGAAGACGAGATCCACTTCGGTTCCGTACAAATGGCTTAACTAAAGGACAAAAAATAACTATTTTGCATTAATTTTGCTCCCAACAAAGAGCCTTTTCGACAGAAAGATTACAAAAGACTTTTTTATCACTGAGGGACCTGTTTCTGAGCAAGAAGTAATGTTAAATTTATGAACATATTTTCTCTGTAGTCCACCTGTTTAGGTGAAACGAAAGCTGCCTTCTTATTGGCTGGCAGGTGGTTCACTTTCTTTTCCTAGTTGTGATTGGCCAGAAATACAGGGGATTTAATGTTTCGCGGGAAAACAGCGTATATCCGTTGCTGTGGGACTACGAATAATTCAATTTAGGTCTTGTTTTGAAACCTAGATTTGACATTGTTAGCTCTATAAAAGCCCGCTTTTGTAATCCCGTGTAAAGATAGTTTCCTTTTTTCACTTTTTGATTGAGTTTCTATGCGACTTGTCTTTTAGAAACCTTTTATTTCCGTTAAAAGTTGCTTTGCAGCGCCTTTTCGTGTATTTTCGCTTAATTAAACAGCTAACAACTGAGCAACGGCGAAACAATGCCCTGAACAATAAACAAAACTGAGAAAACATGTGTGAGTCTAAGCAGACCACGTGTTTTTTATCTCGCAATTATTCATAATCTAAGACATTTAAATCTTTTGTCTTTGAATTTAACCGGTACTGCGTTGAATAAAAGAAGCTAAAAGGCTGAAAAAAAAGCTCTCTCGACGGGGTTCTAAGGTTACTAAAAGAAGCAATACTCTCGCGAAAAATTAAATTGTCTCAATGCCTCACGTGGCCGAACGACAGGATTTCAAGTTGTCCGTTGCGATTCATTGCTTCCAGCTGATAGCCGGCTTCAAAGAATGGAAATGTCATGGTAGCTGATTTTAAAATCATAACAGAGCTCAGGGGACAGGTATTTTGCCGGTGGCTCTCAATTTTGTTTTTATTCTTCTGACGTTTTTATCTTTTAAAGATGAAAGCACGTGTCCTTAAAATCATTTTCCAATTTATTCGTCTTTGACCCGCGATAATTTTTACCTGAAAGGTATTTTCGACGATTTTCAAATTAATGATCCTCGGTTGACATTAACATCGAAACTTTTACCAAATTATTGAGCGAGTCAATCGGTAGCCGGTACATACGGCTGCCGATTGATATAAATCGTTTCTTCTCCTTTAACAGCCTCTTTATTTCACGATATCCGTATCCTTTAACAGAAATAAACAATGGATTGCATCACAGGTTGTTATCTCATTTCGATTTTTCAAAAGTGGTCGCAAAAGGGACCCCAGAGAATCGCGATCCGGTCGGTTGTGATCAGGTGCCCTTTTTCGGGAAAGCTTCCCAAACCACTATTTCTTTTCAACACAAAAGCCTTATTGCCCTCTAGAGCTTTCCATCTATCAAAAGAATTGGTCCATGCTTTAGCTGTACGTATATCGAGTTATGGATGCATTTGGGAAGTTTGCCACAAGAGAAGCGTAAGAGTTGCTTGAGGTGCAGCCAAGAGCAACTGTAGCTTCTTGAAAGCTGTGTTGTGTTAATGGGAATGAAATATCGTTAACTCCAAAACTAATATCGTCGCTTTAAAGAGCTACATGCTCATTGTTTTTGGAAACGAGAATTTAGCATATTTTCTTTTCATTTTGAGTTCCAATAGGTCTCTCTCAACCGGAATCAAACCGAGAAACATTCTTGAAAGTTCGAAATCTTGCGGCTAAACTCGACAGGAACTTTTCACTGACAATGACGTCAGCCTGAACCATATTTCGGAACCATGCATTTTTTTTTTTTTTTGGTGATTCATTGCTTGCGATTCATTGCTTCCAATGCGATTCATTGCTTCCAATATAAGCCAATCAGAGCGAGCACTACTATATAATGCGCCCGCGATATTGCTAGTTCACACGTGAGATCGTCAAGAATCATGGGTAATTTCATTCCCTTGGAAACGTAAACCTTGGCTTCAGCCCGAGCAAAGATTGAAGAATATATGCGAGATTAGGAGATATTACGAAATTATGAGTGGTTTACCCCGTGAAATATTGAAATGGATACAAAGTTTGGACCTTTCACACCCCGTACGAAATACTAGAAGGTAAAATTGAGGCTTCTTTTTTTCGCAAAATCGAGTTTTATTAAAGCGATCTTCAAATTGATTATTATATCTCATATTGTCCATTTGATTAGTTCTAACATCATATCATTGATCTTTTTTTAAATTATCAGAGATTTCTCAAATGGATATCTGGTGGCCGAGATTTTCTCTTGGTATTATCCACAAGAGATTGAAATGCACTCATACGACAATGGTACATCCCTGCCTTGTAAACATGGGAACTGGTCTCAACTACAGAGGGTAATTAAAGATAAGCGACAGCAAAAGTTGTTTAGCAAAACATGATGTTTTGCTTATTTTTAATGTGAAGTATTCCCGCCTTATAAATGTTTAATTTCCCAAATACAATTTTGTACATATAACCCTTATATAAACCCCCAACTGTCAAGCTGCCATGACTTTCCTTAGAAAACAAAATAATTTTATAATATATTATAAGCTAAAATGCCATGCCTATCAGGAGCCTCTCGCATATGTATTTTTTTGTCAAGTAACAAAAGGGGTCAATTTTGGTTTTTTTTTCATGAATTTGTGGTATTTGACAAAGGCATGAGTTAAGAATTATAGGCATTAATGGTTCTTCAATTTTATAAGTTTTTGCAATTTTAAGGTATATTGGTAATTGATGGGAAAAAATCAGGTATATCATTATTCCACCATCCCAATTGGCTGAGATTGTACACTCTCTGCATCTGAATAAATTTGATAAATTAAATTAAGTTAAATTAATTAAATTTAGCCAGAGAAGAATTCTCTTACCTTCATTGGCTAATGAACTCTCTGAATATTATGAGACAATTAATTGATTTTGATTGCCTTGTTTTCTTCTCTTTTTTAGTTTTTTCAACGTCATAAATTTGACATTCCTAAAGAGGTTATAGAGGGCACAATCCATTGCAAGCCTACTGCAGCAGCTTTGTTAATGGAGAAGGTCTACTTCCTGTTGACAAACAGAAAGTAAGTCAGGTTCCTCTTTTTTGTCTTTTCACCAAAATTTTTTTACATCTTTGAATTTTCCTAAAATTTTTTTTGTCAAGACAAGTAGGTTTAAAATCACAGTGAAATTGCATGTAATTACAAAATCTCTCATTCTACATTTATTGGCGATACAGTACAGCAGTATATTAATATTTAACAATTATTTGCGGAAGGCAAGGTGAATATCGTCGAATAATCCCCAAGACGAAGTCAAGGGGATTATTCAACAATATTCACCAAACCTGAGGCGAATAATTGTTTTAGTATAATTTCAAAGCTGAACAACAGAGAAATTTCTAAAATCATAACATTTTAGTAACATTTATTAACATTTTCTTTTAACATTTTATATAAACTGCGTGGAGCGGTTTATATAGCATCATATAAGGAACCACCCAACCAATCAGATTGCTGGAAACTCTTTGCTCAGCTCTGAAATTATACTAAACTTTAATGCAGCCTGTAAATGCAGTGTGATCAAGGATGAGGTGTCAAATTTAAGTAAAAATGATGGCCCATTTAAAAATTAGTAATTAAACTCACATGCTAATGCAAAATCTTTTTTTAATTTTTCTGATTAAGAATCAAGATTGCATCGGTAGGGGATGAATATAATTTTACTGATAGCAACTACCAAGAGCAGCTTCCAGCTCATGCAAGATCTACAGCTTCAATGGTAAATAACAGCACTCTACTATCATTGTGGGTCAAAATGTTTGATATTATTATACACTAGAGTTACTATGAAAAATCTGATTGGTCAAGAGCGTTTAATCAAAACACAATAGTGTGTTGTAAAGTTGACATGATAATTTATGCAACATCTGTGGCAGATATTACATTTATCAAAGTCTACTTAGTTTCCAAGCTCTTTATCTGTGGGGTGTTCTCAAACTTTTGCTAACTAAGAGAGGGGTGTTTTCTTTTTCAGACTGTTTAAAAAATGTGTAATAAAAAAAAAATATTGAATTTGGTTTTTGGTTAATATCATTAATTATCCAACTTTGGCTTCTACAGATAAGTCAGACTTCAGTGTTGATAATTCATGATATCATGCTCAACCTTGTCCAATAATATATTTCGAATTTTAACAGAATATGATTTTAAAGTTTAGTTGAAGCAGATGTATCATAGATATATTGTAATTTGTGATATTTTGTTCATAGGCCATAAAAAATAATATTGCAAACACAGAGTTCTCAACTGATCCAGACCGCATCCTCTGTCAACAAAAGGTAAGAATGTTATTTTTGCCTAAGACACTACGGGTTTTGCTAAAAGCAGGCCCGCAGCCCAGCGGCCTGCGGCCCATGGCCCGTGACAGCCCAGCGGCCTGGCAGCCCAAAGACCCAGCATGCAGCAGCCTAAAACAGCCTGCGACCTGGAGGTACGATGGCCCAGTCCTGATTTTCCACAGTTTTTTGTCCAGCAGTAAATCCACACGCATGCACAGATCTACATCTGGTTTGGGCGTGCAAAGTGGGTTGTGATTATTATTACTATTTTTCGGAAAATAAGTCAATGAAAAATAAAAATAATAAAATGATAAAATGAAATGATAAAATAAAAATAAAATAAAAATAAAATAATAAAAATGAAATTAGAATAAAAATAAAAATAAAATAATAAAATAGAAATAATAATAGGTTCCAGTCCTTACTCCGAAACCTGATTTTGGAGTATCCATTTTAGTCACAACTGTGCAAAATGGATGACAGTGAGCTTGAATTCGTTTACCATTTAATCATTTGAATCCTTGTTTCTGTTTGTTGTATGTCATTCATAAAAAAACGTTTTGGGTCTCTGTTCATTAGTCTCTTTACAGAAACTGATAGCAGAGTAGAGGACTTTCATTATCGAATGATGTAAGTTATTTTTAAACCATACTTTGAAAGTGAAAATATCATAACAACAAAGGAAAAGAAAATATGAACCAAGGGTAAAATTGAAGCACAACACAAACAACAAATTTGAATTTCTTGATGGCGGGGTTTGATTTTTTCACTTTTCACCATGATCGAAAAGTACTCCTTTTAATGTACCATATTTCTTCGCCCAACCTTGAATAAGGAGCTGCCTCCTCGATGTCCGACAGCGTAACATCAGCGAATCAATCAGTCGCCTGACTGAGAAGCAGAGTTCATTTGTTGACCTTAGTGAAATTGAGTACGTAAGTATCACTAGGAGACTTACCTGAACACAGAGTTTCCTCAGTAATTTACAAAAACATTCAATGAACAGTTAAAATTGTGCTACTTGCTAAAAGTGGTGCAAATTTAAGAAGTGCCCAGCCTCAAATAAGGGCCTGCCGCCCTTGAGGACCAAAAATTTAATTAGCACCCAGGGCGCTTACCGTATTCAAATAAATACAGTACTTACATGGCCGGAAAGCAATGTTTGAGAACACGCTTTTCCTTTTGGGATGGAGGTCCTGTAAATAGATCGACATGTCTCTGTATAGAAAAGATTCGCAGTTCACTTATCACATTTATACTTATGATATTTTCACTTTCAAAGTATGGTTTGAAAATAACTTTCATTGTTTGATAATGAAAGTCCTTTATAGTGCTATCGGTTTCTGTAAATAGACTATTATGAACAGCGAATCAAAACATTTTTATATGAAAAACATGCAACAAACACTCACCGTTGATCTGTGCATGGATTTACTACTGGACAAAAAAACTGTGGAAATCAGGACTGGGCCTCCGGGCCTCCAGGTTGCAGGCCGTTGTGTGCCGCTGGGCCTTCGGGCTGCCAGGCCACTGGGCCGTGGGCCTGCTTTTAGCAAAACCCAGACACTACTGAATGAAACACATCGTCACGATATTTGTACCACATACACTCTTGTTGGTCCACAGGCTGTTACGTCTAGATGAGAACAAAAACTTTTTTTGTCTTTACATAACATCATCTCATGCGTGTGGGTCAAGAATCATGCAAGGTGGTTATTGCATCTTAGGTTGGCAGAACTGTCCCAAATTCTCCCACTACCCTTTAGTTTAAATTTAAGGCTATATAGACATGCTAAAAGTTAACTTCCTCAGTTTTATGGTTTTCTTGTGTTGGATAATTACAGAAAGATATGACCTGAGATTTTCAGCCAGTGCATATTCCAGTTATCACTTAGTGACCTTTTAGATTTTACTTAATATGTTTGTGGGGTTATTTTGAAGAAAGATATAACATGATTTTGTTATAGGTAATAACATTATTTTGAGTGCAATTTGATGTTAATAACTGAAGCAAGATTAAATTTTTCAAAGACAACAAAATTGCACAAGCACATAGGGCAAGTGCAAGTTGTAGTCTTAGAAAAATTTGCATAATTTTCATGCCTGGAAAAAGCATCAAAGAAAGTCAAAACAGATGAAATTTTGACAATGCACTTGCTATTTGTCATTTACACTCATGTTACAACTTTATACTTGTGTTACAACTTTGTTTTTGTGGCACATGAAAATTGCACTTGTTTTCAGTCAATCAGTAGTGGGTAATTTTTTTCATTTGTTTTATTAGCAGTAAAACTGTTTAGATGTAAAAAGATATCATACACAGTTGCGTTATTGAGGGCACTATTCATTTGTTTATTTATTTATGGTTTTATTTTTTTGTAGGCCCAAGCTATAATTAATGTCCACTTGGAGCATAGAAGACAGGAAAGAGTTGAGGATCCACGTAAGTATGAAATGTGAAAGAAACTTTGGCTAAAAATCAATGACAGGGAAAATTATAGTTATCATGATCTCGTTACACTTATTGATGTGTTTTGAAAGCTGTATGTTTGGTTTGGCTATCGCGACCGACAGATCCAGGTTTTGAAGCATACAACAACCTTATACTGCTAAATGAATTGACACACTTTTAGCCTTGATTCCATAACTAGATATAAAAAGTAAGCTAAAAGTGGTTCACACTAACCTTCATTTAAAGAAATGTTTTCTGTGGTCTACTTATCATTTTAAGAATTTTTCTAGAAAGCGTGTCTTTAAAAATTAATTAAACTAATTTAATTTGATGAATAAAAACAATGAAAAATGTTAACACTGGTAAAAAATGCTAATCTCCATCTCATGAAATTGCCTTCCAACACATATCAGTGCTAACCAGCAGAGCTGCAATAAAATGATTTTTTGAAGAATAGTTGAACCACCAAATTTAGTTATATGTCAAGTTATTTTTAGTAATTACTTGGTTGTCTGGATTACAGGTCGTTTTGGTATTCGCCCAACACTTGGCCAGCTGTGTCCAAGAAAAGTCCCCCCATCAAACTACAATGAATCCTTACAAAGACCTCAAAGGCATACAAAAGGACACAAAACTGGTAGGGAAGAGGATCAATCCTTATTGGTTGAATCAGTATACTATAGATCTTACAGTTTCAGGGTTGTGATAATTTGAAGCCAGTCAGACCATTTAGCACCGGCCACTCTGTGAATTGTGGTCTTGAAGACAGAAAACAAGTATTTTAAACTAATTCTAATATTGGTGTCAGGCTAAAAAAGTTACCCAATTATGACCCAGAGTGCTGGAAATCATGTCTCAGTTTCCAATTTCACATTTTTCTGCTGAAGAATGCCCCTGGACAGCCCTAGGAGAGCACGTTGCTCTGCAACATGCTATACTTTCAACACGTGCATATTTAATTCAGTTCAGGTCATACAACTGTTCTCTAATGACAACCCCACAGTTTGTGAGTGATCTGAAATCACTCTTACCTGACTAAGTAAATATAGTTGAACCTGTCTTAAGCAGTCAACCTGTTTTAAGTGGTCAGATTTCAAAGTCCCAAATTTTTTTCCCTTGACTACTAAGCTCCCCCAATCCCCCCTCCTTTCCCGCAATGCTTGCTTCACAGGCTAAGCAGTTGTGGTCCCCCTTTACTATATCCCAATGGCCTGTTTGTACTATCCTCTACCTGTATTGTGCAGTTGCTTAAAGTAGAAACACCCCCCAAAAAAAACAAACAAACTAAGAGTAATCTTGCAGGTACAATTTTATTCATGCTTATCACCCAATGATTAATGCTAGTACAATTTCGAGCAAGGGTTTTTTACAACAAGTGGTCAACCATGGTTTAGAATGGCATTTATCATTTTTTTTTATAACACCCCTATTCTGTTGAACCTACATCAAGGGGTCAAAGTATTTTAAGTGGTCATCCAACCATTCCCCATGGATGACTGCAGAATACAGGTTTGATTTAGTGTTGGCATCAATGTTGGTACAACCACTGTGAAGTTTTGGATCTACAAGTCTCTTCCAAAGAAACCAACACAGTAACACCACTGCCAATCAATGAAAAATGTGCTATGCTAGAGTTTTTAACCATCCAGTCAGTGATCAAGAAGTTCATATTTTGTTTTGTGCAATAGTTTTAACACAAAAGTGTTTAATTCACACAAAATCCTGTGGTCATTTCCCTTTCAGAGGACAATCCCGAAGGAAATCAACCAGCAAAATACACAGAAATACAAGTAAAGCAAGTGACAGATACAGGTGAAGGATTCCTTCCTCCAATACAAACTACTGGAATGTACTCAATGGTGCACTGAGGATGGCAATTGTGAAACCAAATACCATTTAAGATAGTTATTACATTTTAGTCAGAAATCCCAATAAGAATTCCTTGACATGACAGTTCATCATTAACTATCAACACTCAATTATTAGTAGTACGTGTGTGAAAAGTAGTTGTAACTTGTTTTTTTTTTAAGACTTCCATGCTTTCGCTTTCAAGATCCAAATCTCAATTTTCTACTTTCTCCATCAAAGATTTCATAATAATTCAGCTGAGGATTGTGAAGCACTAGTGAAATACTTCCCTTTCTTGTTGCCACCTTCCTCCTTGACAGTGTAACAATACTGAAATGAGGAAGAATTCTGTTCTTGTTGTCACAGATAAAATCCTTTGAGAACTCCAGCAATGCTAAATATATTTTCATACCTGATTTACCTTTCAATCAAATGTGTTCCAATACTTGATATGTTCAAGAGGACATCAGTTAAAGATTAGGAGTTGCATTTTTTTTTTTTTTTTTAATTTCAATGATGTCCCTCCGCATTAAAATATCTAAACCGCATTGTTTCAAGGCAAATTTTTATGTAGATATTAGGAGTGTTATGTTGTAAATAAATAAACCTTGCTATGTTAAAGAGTTTTAACTTTACTTATTGTTAGTGTGTGGACAAGCATTCCTCTTGTCAATAGTCCATTTTACAGTTGTGTGCTTGGTTGCCAAGCCTTTGAATGGGAGCGAGGCTAGGGATGACCTTGTTATGATACAAACCTTGCTGCCTTTCAAATGTAAATCACTTTGTTATCATGCTAACTAGATACAGGTCTCTATCACAACAAGGTCATCTTTAGCCTCACTCTGAATCAAACGCTTGGCAACTAAGTACACAACTGTAAAATGGCCTGTTTACAAGTCAGTAGTTGTCAGTTTGAAATTGTGCACTACATGATATTAGACAAGACAACAGTTAAGACGATCTTGAATATCATTTTATTGAGGTTCAGTAGATAGACACTAAAGCTGAGTTATGCCAAAGATAAAAATGGTTACAGTTTTTTTGTACAAAAATAACCAAAAATGATAATGGTCAACATCTCTATTTCTGTCTTAAAAAAAAAATACACATGATTAACTCCAAATGATCTGCATACCAACATGACTAGTGTTGGCCACTGAGAGAAACAATAATGGTAATTGAGTCGTACTTGCAAAATTTTCAAAAGGATGCAAAAATATATTTTCTTGTCAAAAAACTACATAAAATGGTGACATGACTACATAAGTCTTAACAGCAAACCCTGCTCTCATTATATTAAAGACTAGAAGTTCTAATTCTGTTACATTTGACTAGTCTGCTAACAGGATAAAAAGTACGAAGTTTTGAGTGATGTTCAGCACGAGTGAAATTTTTTGTTACAAAAAACGAGCTAAGAAAGTCAGTCTACTTACGAAAGAAAGTTTCAAAAGTTTTCAAACTTGCCCGAGTTACTAATTTTACGTGGAAAAAATGAATGAAAAAACAAAATAAGAAATCAGCTACAAGCACAAAAAGTCAAGGCCTGCGTGGAACGCGCTTGTCTGACGCGCCTTACAAAACTTAAGTACGTATAAAATGGTGACATGACTACATAAGTCTTAACAGCGAACCCTGCTCTCATGATATTAGTGACTATAAGTTCTACTTCCGTTACATTTGACTAGTCTGCTAACAGGATAAAAAGGACTAAGTTTTGAATGATGTCCAGCACGAGTGAAATTTTTTGTTACAAAAAACGCGCTAAGAAAGTCGGTCTACTTACGAAAGAAAGTTTCAAAAGTTTTCAAACTTACCCGAGTTACTACGTTTACGTGCCAAAAATGAATGAAAAAACAAAATAAGAAATCAAATACAAGCACAAAAAGTCAAGGACTGCGTGGAACGCGCTTGTCTGACGCGACTTACAAGAATTAAGAGTATTGCACGTGACTGCGCGAGACCATCGTGGGTCTTACCCAACTTAAACACGAAGGCGCGCTATATAAGGCAGTCTTCCCTGAGAAGACCTGGGCTCATTTGTCACTCACCGTTGACGTGTGCGGGTCAAATTTAAATGCTGGTAGACGAACAAAAGGAGCTAATGAGATATCTATTGTTTACTTCCACCAGCATGGTGGCATGAGGTAACGTGCGAACCACCAACTTCGATCTCAAATTTACCGCCACAAATAAACACAGTTTCCATTGGAGAAAGGAAATACAAATCTCAAAAATTCTTGTATTGTGATGAAGACATAAAACAATTTTCAGGAATGCGCCCGGTGTTCACTGCTTTGGAGTAGCTGTAGCTCAAGCTGACTTGACTCTAAGAGTTCTACATCACACGACGGTTGATTGACAAATGGTCCAGTGGGACCTAAGGCTCCTTTCATAGCGCGCCTTCGTGTTTAAATGGGTTTGCTTGGATTGCGCGTGATAAAAGCTCCATTCCGCGCTCTCCTTGAGTTTCACGCTTGCGCGTGACAAACATTTTGCTTGTTCCTCAATTTCCTACGAAACAATCGAGGCATGCAACGCGTACTAAATTTTAAGTCGGATGTCCTCTCACGAGTTTATTAAACTCTCTTCTCTGAAGCATCCTAGTTTTCTTTAGAAACAAGTAGAACAAGTAGAACCTATTTGTAATATAGTTTGAAATTTACTTTCAATTATTTTCAAATTCTGGTCGCATTTAATTATTATAGTTAACTAACCGAGCTTAAATCTAGTGGCCATTTTTTCGCTCTCTATTTTCCTATGTTCAAACACAATTTCTAATTTCTAATGACTTAAAGATTCTGCGATTTCTTTTTCTAAGCTTCACACACAAAAAAAGTTAATGGATCCTATGGTTCATGTCTTTGGGCCTTTATCCGCTGGACGTCTCAAGGACGTTCGCCGATACCTGAGCTCTTCCACAATATGCTTGGTAGAGCCTGGCCGTCCAAGATGTACTGACTGTTGACAGAAATTGATAAATATCAATGACAAAAACTCCCTTCAAACAGGTTATTTGACAAAGGGAGAACAGCATACAGTAAAGAAATCAAATGGTTAAGTAAAAAATGAATAAAGGGGGTAAGTTTTTAAACAAACTGTGGTGCTGCGTCGGTAGGATGTATAACAAGATAATTTAGTTTCATCAACTGAGGTGACAATGTAAATTGGCCATCCTTAAGAGTTTCTAAAGCTAACGTTTCGAGCGTCAGCCCTTTGTCTTTGGCTAGAAACATTAGAAACTTTGCGCGGTGGCCAATTGTCACACATTGTCAACTCAGTTGATTTAACCAATTAGTTGGTTAAGTAACAAACCTGTCTTCCAAGAAATAAAGGCAAGTCATCTTCCTGCGAACCCTGTTCAAGTTGCATAAAAAATTAGAAAGAACATTTGGTGCTGGCAGAAACAAGAGGAAAGACTTGCGTCATTTTAGAACCCTCTACCATTCTCAAACAAAACCTCCGTCCGAAACGTCATATATTGTTCTCGCCGTTTAGGTTAGTTGCTTCTCTTTATCAACAATCCCCTTGCAGAGCGAAGTATGTGGTTTTAAGAAAATGGTGTCGTTTATCTGCTTTTATTTCCTCTCGAATTTATTTGGGCTTGTTTTGTATTTTGTTGTTATTAGTCTGTGCGTTTGGTGTAAATAATACGCTATGTTTTGAGAGCAATGTTCTTTGCTTTCAATACAGCATCATGTACTTAAGAGGCCAGCAAGCAGAGAGCTCGCCTTGGATTTTCCAGAAGAATAAGTAGACTAGTAGATCTCTTTTAATGTCTTGTTGCATGAAGACTGATTCCTACCTTGGGACCCACCAAAGAGTACAGAACCTCTGAGTCCTGCGTGGGATCTGACCAAATACCTTCAGGGTGCTAAAAAAAAAAAAATCAAACTGAGCCCACACGAGAAGGCAAGCTGATTCGCTTTTGGAAACACTTTCCAAGTGGTTATCAGAAAGTCTCTCTTATTGATCAGGGGCGGATCTAGGGGGAGGGTGCAGGGGGTGCGTACCCCCCTCCCCCTGTGAGATTACCTGCGGCTTTCTAATACAAGTGGTACCCTGCTATTACAATTTGTTTACGTCCAGTCACCAGTCAGTTACGCCATTCTTAAGTGGTGCACCCCCTCCTCAAAAAAATCCTGGATCCGCCCTTGCTGATAATTACACTAACAACAAGAGCGACTCCCTCATTCGCGTTTTCCCGCGCTTCAAGCAGTGTGCTTGTTTTCACCTCGAGTGCCCAACGGCTAGTGATGAAGTAAACCTTTGTTCGCATTAGTCGCCGGGATGACTTAGGCTTTGGTTTTTTCGACGCAACTAAACGCCCTAATTTGTGTTGAAGTGTTTCTCTTGCCCCTCGAAGCAGCTCAACAGAAATTTTGTTCTTGGTGGAAGATCCCTTTCTCACAGGAGGTATGTTCTTTGCAAATACCCAAATAAAATACAGCGAAGAATAATATTGATATGGATCTTCCCTGAAACAAAGAACTACTCACACATCTTACAAAACTCAAACAAAAGACTTGAAACCTTAAAAGACAGCTCGACTGAAAATGTTTTTTTCGCTTTACTTTCTCGCTATGAGAAAGATTAATCAAGGCCACAATCTCAAAGCAAACCCAGAATCAGTTTCAATTAACTTTATTTTGTACCTTCATGTTCAGTGTTGCAGCCAGCCAACGATTCCTATCAGCTTTGTCTTTGGCACACATATACCTGAAGCAAAAACATTTACGAAATAGTTTAATTCGAAATAAGTGTCTAAAGTTAAAAAGGTTTGTAAATCAAATTAAATACATCTTGCTTACGTTCCAGACACTCGGCAAGAATCCAAGAAACGGGTGAGTGAGCAGACATTTCTCACTCCGACGTGCCTGACTTAAACCGTCCCTAAAAGAGAGTCTTTCCGTTCCTTCACCCTCGACTGTTCTTCTGCTAATCTCCTCTCTTCGCCCTCCCCTCCCCTCCCCTCCCCCACTTTCTTCTCGCCCCTTCCTTTCCTCCCAAGTAACTGCAGATGACGCCATGATGTGCTCTAGGTCCAGTTAAATCTAATATACTTGATTTTCTTGACTGTCTTTATTTAATTTTTTTTTTTACCAACCTGACAATGTCTTCTTGGTCTGTTTTAACCACAACAGTGAACCCACAACTGAGAAAAATAAAAATAAAAAACATTCATGAAAATCAGCCGACAAAATAGAGAGCAATTTATGCGAAAGCACTTCAAGCCTAAGTACAGTAATACTTAAAAGGAAGCGCTATCTAAACGACTCTGCGCAAAAAAGATTGGCTCAAAGGTTAAGCTAAAATTGTCGCTCACAGAAGTTTACCTTTATCATAGCCTCTACTACTGCGACAAAGCGTGCGAAAGTTGTTGAAAACTTAGGCAAAAAATTGTCGCGTCTATCATTCCAATAGTTATGTCAGTGTTCTCGAGTACATTTCAATTTAAAATTCTTTATCAATAGCATCCGTAAAAACAAATTAGGAGAAGTCAAGATTTTGTTTGCTACTCAAGAACCTGACATAAAAAAGCGAAAAAATAAACTAGCGAAAAAGAGACTAGAGTCTGAACTCCGTAGAAAAGATGTAATTAAAATAATCACAACATTCGGTTTGAATAAAACTCCTTTAACTTCGTAAAAATTCCAAACTGAGGGATTAAAATAAACGTGAAAAAAAAAATCAAAAACAACAACCGAACTAAACTCCGTAAAGAAAAACAACAAAAGTATGCGCGAGAAAATATCCACGCCAGTTTTTCCAATGTCAAGGCCAGAGCCTTCCGACGTGTAGCCCATTTGCTACAGAATTTCAACCCGAATATCGGAAGATCTGGGTTTCGAATTCTCCTACGAAATTCTTATTCCCCCTTTTTTTCTTTTGTTTTAACTCACGTTCGAGGTAAATTTTCAATATATCTCTTTCAACAAATTTTAATTCGCAACGTACGCTACCCGGCCTCACAAATCCAGTTGCGATCGTCACGTGTCAGAATAACTGATTACCTCGTGTCCAGTGTTTTTGTGGCTTTCTCAGCTGGAATACCCACATACAAAGTGAGTTTATGCAATGGCCACTGTTCTGAGTCTGATTTGTCCGACTTGATGGCTCGTAAAATTGACTTCATAAAAACAATAACAAAAAACAAAACAAAGTAAAATAAATAAAATCGCGTAAATTTTAGAAACAGAGAGTCAACTGCGATGAGATGAGAACACATAATAAAAAGAGAATAGCTTTTACCCCCCGTTCCTTGTTGACTGACATGTAGCCATTCTTCAGACACACGTGACTCTGTTTCCAATTCCTTTTAGGATCCCGGATTTGTAGGGGGCCTTCGATTGAGAGGGAACCGACCTGAAAACAGATGATCACCGTTAAGAGAAAAATAGACTTTTAAAAAACGAGGACATCTTTATTGACAAGACATTCGAAACTTTTTCAGGGGACCTACGTCTCAGTCTGTTAATCTTGAAAGAAAGATTTCACCGAAATTCAATCTTGTTATTCGTTCATGTCTATCCTTAGCCTTCTTCATTCCTCTTTTGCATATTATTCCAATGCTGTTCTTTCCAGTCCAATCAAGCTAACATTTTGTAGACTGTGTCGTGTTCAAGGTAATGTTGCTCGTGGTAAGAAAAACTTATGAACTCCACCAAAAAAACAAAGAGACTTGACGAATAAAAAATGTAGTCGGAGTGCCTGGACCACCGTAACAATCCCTGCTTTGCGAACGTGAAACTGAAATCGATTATGCAAATTAACGTTGCGATAAATCTAAAATCTCATATGGACGGCGCGTAGAGATAGTCATAAAAGAACTAAATACAAGGACAACTAGACTAAGGTTATTTATAGGCTCAAACTTCAAATCGTTCAAATATGTAATGGAGTCTCTCAAAATCAATAAATCACGAGAACCTACTCGAAACTGAAGCTAGTGTTCACGATGTAATAAATCTTGAATACTTTAAAAGTAAATTATTTCGTAGAGAATAAGAGAAATATTTACATATGGAGCGATCTGCTCTGCGATGTAGTTCTCTTTGACAATCAAGTAGTTCCCACTCCCCCAGTTTGCCGCGGTCATGACCTTCTCTCTGACTTGAAACGCTCGCTCTAATAGAGAACACACAAAATAAGGAATAAAATACAACTTTTGTACGAGCACACTACTTTCCAAAGGTTTCACACGTTAAAGAAGGGACAACTTTTCAACTAAGAATCAAAAGTTATTCAGAATTGCTCTGAAATCGCTTTACTGACCACTGTAATTATTATTGTTTCAGAAAACACTCACCACCATAAGATTTCCCATTTTAGCCCATCAGTAAACTGACCGTGTTTTCTCGCCTCACAGGCAGCATTCCTGCTCCTTGTGATATGTTCCTTTGTTCTAAATAGCCATTGTGATTATTCTCAACGTTGTGATTAGACACTCAATGGAAGTGTGCTCATCGAATGAAGTGAGAGGAGACTGGGAAACAACACTTACCCATGGCACCATTATCGATAACTTCAAACAGCACCCAATCGATATCGCGCGATAGTGCCTTTTGGGAGACGACCTCCGTACACAGTCTTCCTGCCGTCATCTCAGACGAAACCTAACGGGGAAACATTACCAATCAGTTACAAACCTGAATTCTCCACACCGGACAAAATACAGTTCTTATGGAGCTACTTTTCGGTTAATGTAGCTATCGAAAGATTTCAATCCTGTCATTTGCAGTCCTATTAAACTTCTTCATCCTTCGCCATACTTAACCCTACTTTCCTTAAATATGAAAATGTTCTGTATAGTTATTCAAAATAACTGTCAGCTCTTAAACGAACTGGTATCGTAGAGAAAAGTTAATTATTGATTAGGAAACACCAGGCGGGATGCGTTACCTTCATTAAATGTGGATTGTCATTCTTCTCTTTCACGTAAATATCCAAAGTGAATTCTCCTCCGGAATTATTTTGTTTGTCCTGTAAATTGTAAGAAAAAAAATGAGTTAAGAACAGTGCTCGTCATTCAAGAAGGGAGGTTTAATTTCTGTCCAAGAAATAAATCATATTGAAACGAAAAAACGAGAAAATGGCGTAGTTTCAAATAAAAAAAACTGCAAGGAGACAATTTCCAATCTTTGAAGGTCAAAAGCAATCCAAGATTGCTGGGGTTTTGATACCAAACGCTTTGTGATTGGTTTAGAAAAGTCGCGCCACCTGTCGACCCAAATTGAAAACCACGCGACTTGGTCATCCGCGTTTTCCCGCCAAAAAGGTCTCGTGATATTTCCTTTGTTGTAATTAGCCGTTGTCGTTACTCCATCGAGCCATGCTCCATCCAAACTAAGACTAAAAGCTAAGAAAGCTTGCTTATGTTGCAAAAGTGTTACCTTCAATTCGATCAACTCTCGTATCTTCTGAGTGGCTTCTACGATTACCTAATAAATGAACAAGAAAACAAAAATGAAAAAACTGGAAATACATAAAAAAAACACTTTGAATCAAAAGCCAAGGTATTGGATGAAAAAAATACTTCGTTCTAACCTGGGCTTTCTCTACTTCTTCTTCACTCACCTAGAAAAAAAGAAAGAAAATAAATAAAAATTGTAATTTTCTCACCGGTGGGAGCCAAAGTTCCTCTTGGTAACGGACGGACACAGGTTCGCAGCTGCCTCAAAGCTTCTTAAATCTTCCACACAAGTAAAGCACCGAATTCTACCGCTTTACCTTTGAAGTTAAGTCTGAATATAAGACTGAAAAAAGTGGCTTTCCGAATTTATTTCTGGGCCTTTAGCATAATGTGTCTTGGAATAATGCTTCTCCTGGATGAGATGAGATTCTAGTCCATCACAGGTTAAACACCTCCCTCCCCTTTCGCAGTATTTTTTTCTGGTATCGCTGATAGTTGACTAGTATCCATTCTTACCCCTTTCTTGTCCAAGAGCAAGTGTAAACGAGGGAGTGTTTTGTTCTGTTTTTTTTTTTTTTTTTTTTTTTTTTTATTTTCTTTATTAAAGTTAACCAGGGCCACACCAGAAAGTAACTCACTCATACTTACGTCGAAGAGCCACTTATAATACGTGATCATGTCTCCAACGATAGAAAATTCCTGATTAATTGAGGTATCGTCCATTCGCCCAGTCTGATGTAAAAAGATAGAGGATAAACACGATCGTAACATTGGAATTAATGGCAAAGGAAGGCTGTAAGATTAAATAAGAAAAGCTTGAAAAGTTAAAATTTAAAAATGTAAGCAATTGTGAAAAAAGGTTTTTAAGTTGTGTTCACCAACTTTTCACGGATTCCTCAAAGATTTTCGTGATCGACTTATGTCACAGCCAAATATTCTCTATTCCAGAAATAGGGCCAGAAAATGCTTACGTTTTCATTGGACATCAAAGTAGGACCGAAGATCATGGCAACATTGGGTACTCCCATTTTGTTGACGTTAACCAGCTCGGTCACTCTGAAATGGAGGAAAAAAAATAATAGGTATTAGACATGGCAAACAAAATTCAAGTAATCCCTCGTAAAGCTGATTCGTTCTTCGCAAAACAGTCACAAAAATTGATTCTGCTGTCCATGGAACAGGCGAGAAATATAACAACTCCCCAGAGTTAATTAACAACTCCCAAGAGATAATTAACAGATCAGCTTATCGCCATGAGCATAAAGATCAGTTGTAACTTTTCTGACTGAACCATGTCCGCAAACTCCAAGTAATGACACAAAAAAAAAGTGAGAGAATTTTTTTTGGAGTTTGAAAAGCTTATCCATCGCTAGTTCTCCCTCATCAGCATTCTGTCAGGTTTCCCTGACAGTTCGCCACTTCCTAGTTACACTCCTGACCCTCTCCAAGGTGGAGACAGTCCTAGATAAGTGCCTTGACCAATAAGAAAACAAAACGAACTGCTAGTCAGGGTTCGAACCTGGACCCCTCGATCCTAAGTTCCGCGCTAGACACCAAGCCAATAGTCTCCCCAGGCCTCGTGAAAGTAAAACGAGAAAGTGTTACGGTGACTCTAGTTGGATTTCGAATGAGCTCAACCCCAATCGTCACTAGACTTACTTGGCCAAATGACAGATGATCGCCTTCAGAGTTCCATGGTTCACTTTAGGAAGCTGGTTGATAAGAGATTTTATAGTCTGTAGTCTTGTATTATGGTCTTGAATCACTTAGGGGAAAAAAGAAGAAGAAATGAAAAAATAAACAAGCCAATAAACGAATACACTACGCAGTAAAAAAAACTGCATTATTCATACTGTATTAACATTATCATACATTAACATACATTATCATACATTATCATACATTATCATACATTATCATACCCCATTACATTGACCAATAGCATATAGTGCTCGCGAAATTTATGAACATGGCAGCAAGTCAAAAGTGAGGGAAAACCCAAAGTACTTTTGACTGTGGTTTGGAACCTAATCAGTGAGAATGGGCCATATCCTATCTTTGGTGATTGCTGTGAGACCTAGAAACTAACACAACTATGAAATAACGACGCTCAACAAAATCTATCCAAAAAAAATTGATTCTTACAGCCTGCTGTGATAAAACGCTTGTAAATGTCACCAGGGATGACTGGGTCGGGAAGTTGTCGTAAGTATTGCTTCAGTATTCCAGTGACGTCATGGACCCCGCACTCATCCAAAGTTAGCAGCACGCTACCTGCGTCTAAGGAGAGAAAACCATACATCGGTATAAGCCAACACGAAAAGTCCAACTAACTGAATTATAGCTTTTTTTTCAAAACAAAAATCGCCATAAATTTTCAGATGAGTTTGTTACCTTGATCAAATGATGTTCTCAGTTTCTTCATTGTCAACTGCCCACCATTTACTCGATAAACTCCTTCCATCTCTAAACCACCTGGGTTGATCAAACATATTTAAGAGAATCGGTCATTATATCGCGAATTAACCTCGTCGATCAGAAACTGTTTTTATCCGAGTACATCCGTGTTCATCACGCTAATCTTTTGACATAAATTGTCCGCCTAAGAAAAAACTTACCATAAGTTTCAACAAACTGCAAGCATTTTGCCACCAGGTGAGGAATTCCATCAGAACCAAGCTCTTGCTGACAAAGCAGAACACCAAAAACCTGTGGAAGTTTCGAAGGGCGGATAAGCTGGTTACAAAATACCCCAATTGATGAAAGTCGAGTCAGTTCTTCCAGTCCTAGACTCTTACCTGTTTGCTTCTCAGAGCTGAAAACCAGCCCTCAAGTTCGTCTTCAGTTTCAGCCTTCAAACTATGCGTTCTATGAAAAACGAAAAAATACATATTGTCCTGACTCGAAAGCTCCAGTAAGGGTTAAAGAGTCATGTCTAACAATAATCTAAGGTTATACAAGGGCGCAAACTCGTCGTTGTGAGGGCAAACTCGTCGAGAGCGAACTTGCAATGGAGTGAAACTTGTTGTTTCCGTTTGCTTCTGTGAACAATTAGATAGATAGATAGATAGA